CCTTCATTTCAGTTGTTATTTCTGCAGCTTATCTACTGGAGACTATAGAGAATCTTGAATGACACACTGTCATCTTCCTCTGCATTCTTAAGAAGAGCTACTCCTGCTGCTTGCCAGGAGTTGTAAAATTCAGACACGAGTTCACTTTCCAGTACTGCCCTAGAGAGACCTCTGTTTGGAGTGCTCCCAGCATTGCTGGCTCTGCTGATGGACAACTGACACATTCTATCTGCAGGGTGGCTGACGCATGGCAGTTAGATGTCAGGACTTCCAGTTTCTCACCTGATTAAGGAAGATAGGATGAGGTGGTGTTCACAGAGCTCATGTAGGACACAGGAGAGTTGTGCTTAATCTGCTCTCTATCTCAGACCTCTGGTGTGATCTTTCGGGAAGTTACAGGGGAAGGGGTTCTTCACGTCTTCAATCAGGGAAAGGTTTAGTGTCTCATTTTACATTGATTCAGAAAACTTCAATTAAGTGTTCAGACATCCTGTTCAGACAATAATCTTCTGAAAATGATTCACCTGAACTGTCTTAAGCACCTGAATTAACATAGGATGAATCGCCTCTCCTTTAGCTTAGATAAGGTGGATGTTAGTCTCTCTCTGATTTTACTTCCTACCTGCAGAGTGCTTTACAGTTTTCTATCAGTAGTGCTTGTAAGGTACTCATCGGCTTTAATGGTGTTGCAGAATTTAGCTGCATGATTGATTTGAATTGTTTTGCCCTTCCTAACTATGTCAGCCACACTCCATTTTTCTCTATCAATGTAAGGTAACTCATATCACACAGTGCATTTGAATCCCAATAAAAGTAGCCATGGGAAAGCCTTAGTTGGTACCATTCAAAAAATCTCCCCTGCTGTAAAAGAATAGCAAACATGAGAGAAGGTCTTGAGAGCTTGATGCAGAAACAAATTTGCCTGTGAAAGGAGTGGATTGTAATGAACAAGAGAAATGAATATCTGTCAGGTCTGAATTACATCAGAGTGTTCTAGCGTTTAATCACCAGATTGGATCTTGGACCTTTTATGGTCCCATCCAGCCCCATTTTTAAAGTCTGAATTACTTCTTTTATTTTGAAAATAATGTTTATCAGCGGATGTTCTGACTTCTTCCCTCTCTTCAAGTGATAAGTGTCACACCAGTGAGTGTACTTCAAACTTAAGGTGGAAAATAAAAATTGCCCCCACATGTTCAGTAACTGCATGTACAGTGCTGCCCTGGTAGAAAATTGGCCAGATATTGATTTAGAAACATAAGTAAGATTCACTTCACTGAGCTTTATACATCTCACTTTTAGTGGTCTAACCATGAGGTAATTGTACTGGCCCCCTGTGTGGCCACTGTAGGCGCATTACTCATAGTGCAGCAATGTTTTATCAGTAGGAGGTATTTTCTTATATTTGCAGGGAACTTTTGGCACTGAAGACAAAAATGTATCATGGCTCAGTACCTTACAGACAAAATTGTATTATATCATCAGAAACTGCAGTTGTAGAATCGGATATGGGGTGGTTTGCTACCGCTCTTAGCAAACCTAGCCATTCTTCCATGAACACTAGCTGCCAGAACTGATGTTACTGCAGCTAGGTTCACCCTGATGGCGGAATTCCAGGGCAAAATATTCAGTCTTTTAATGGCAGTAAGCCTCAAATGTGAAGTTCTGCTTAGTCTGGAATATTTTGCCCACTTGTTTAAGTTAAGGGTTACCTCAAATAAAAAAAAAAATCTATTCTGTTCATCATCTACTAGAGACAGAAGATAGCAAATGCAACATTAATGGATGCTTTTTATTCAGTTCCTTTAGTGCTCTAATTGTATGCAAGACTTGGACTACAAAATGATAGTGACATCCATCAAAGCCAAACTTAGCCTTTCATAAGTTATGCACACTGTCTGAAACAATTGTCTAGACTCATTATATTTTGAGTAGAGACTTCCAGAGCGTTGTTAATTCTGTGTTTGAGTAAGCGTGTGAAATCTATGAGGTTCATCACCTCTGGAGATCCTGTCTTTGTATTAATTACGGAGGTCCTGATCTGTAACTTCGAAAAACCTAGAATTTGATGACCTAAGCTGTACACTAAACATACAAAGTAATAAATGCTCTGTAACTTTACTTCTGCTGCAGGTTGGAGTTAATGCTATAAACTTCTTTAACTCTTGGAGAAGAAAACTACAGAAAACTGCAGAATGTAGAATGTGGGATATTTACTTTATTACCTAACATTTCCCTTGCCCTCCACCCAGTTCCATTTTCAGCATGTCACAAATCATGCTTTTGGGACATAGACCTTTACCAAAGGAGGAAAAAGCAATGGGGGAAAGGGGTTTGGAAAAAAGTGTTTCAGGATAGAACATTGAATGTCTAATTCTTACCTGTTGAATCTGCATCAGATAGGTATATATATATATATATATATTTTTTATATATATATATTTATATATATATATAAATATATATATTTATATATATATATAAATATATATAT